ACTTCGGTAACCCACGGTCCCTGGCACGCTGGCACTTTCTCTCGGTTTTGATGCCCTGTCGGTGCATGCGTTCGCGCTCCCACTGGGTTTCGGGCCCCGTATCAGGTGTCCCCGAGCAGCTAGGTGGTCGCTTGACGGCGGGGGAGGGAGTGAGGTTGACCCTCAGCACGCTTCTCTCCTGTCGCCTGCATCCAAGCAGAAAACTGATGCTGTTTAATTAGCTACGGTTAGAGAAATGAACGTTTTACACGACGGGCACAGTACCGGAACGGCTTTAATTCGTTTCACTGTACTTCTATTCGTACCGAACACTATGCCACTGACTTCAACTGTTGTTTTACGTTGCTGCTTTAAGAACGATGTACTGACGTATCCACGCCTCTTGTAGGTAGTCAGACAGCGGAAAATGCCTCAGAATAGGGCTCTTTAGGAATAAGAGCAGTTGAATATATGTGCTTCACCGATCTACTAGAGTAACAATTAAGTTCCGCTTTGCTCAGGAGCCCAAAACGTGTGGCTACATTTTTCACTTTAAACTTACTTCTAAAAAGTTCCTTCTCTGCCTATCCTATTTCCCCACCCCACAAAACTCCATAACTGCCGTTTTTGCAGGACAAAATGTTGGGATTAGGAGTATATAAGTGGGGCTACATAAGCTACTTTTGCTTGGTTGTATAAGCGCATATGTGATAAATATACACCGTAGGAAATATGGTTTTAACTGTTGTCGTATTAGTTCATCAAGATGTAAAAAGCGGCGCTTCAGACAGAATAAGATCCCATGCGGGGACTGAAATGTCGCGTAGTAGAGGAAGAGTAGACAGAGTTAAATAAAGTAATAAGTTTTTCCCTTATTGTTTTCCATACAATTTAATTTCATGGCGCACATGCATATTTATGGGATACTAACCGTTTATTTACAAAATGCATTTTTTCAGGAGGTCATGGTAAGATTAATCTACTGTATTTTGTATTAACCTGTGATATTGCAAATGAAGTCTGTGTATGTGTATGAGGTTTCATGAGATAATTCACCCAGTTAATACTCTACTAATCACCGGCATACCGGTTGCCTATGGGAAATATCACGGTTTGGCTCCAAGTGTTCGGTACCGGCGCCCGAATCCCGTAAAGCCACTTCTGCCAACTGGAGCTCAGAATTACTCTTAGATGGACCTGAAATCCAAAAGCGGTTTACCACATAACTCCCGTGTAACAACGAAAGTTACGTACACGATGGGAGTAGATCAAAAAAAAACTTTTCCGTCCGTTTTGACGCATTTAAACGCAATAAATTACGCTGCAGTGCTTCATCGGCGGGACTACGTCAGCGGACCGCTTTCCCATATATTCTTGTTTATTAAACACTAACAGTCTTCTTACAAAATATACGTTGTAGGACAGATGGGTAAGACGAACCCACTGTAATTAACATTTGCATTACAAAGTTAATCTAAGTATTTTGATGGGCTCCCTCTCGTCTCTGGAACAAAAGTTTCCCCTGAGAAATATC